AATATTAGCTGGCAATAACTAATGGTGCAATAAGTCGTATTTTTACAGGCTACAGGGTATTTATCATTTTTACTCTTAACTCTCACATTTAAGAGTTAATTAGGTCTGTCAGTAATATAAATACTCTTGGAAAAATCTATTTTAATAATCTTTCCAACAATTGTCCATATGGGTAAATCTAGTCTTAGTCACTAAAGTCCAGCATAATTAGCTGGCTTGGGTTTCTCATCTGCTGTATCGCATACATTCCTGTCACTGATGTGGTCAATTTGTTGCTCAGCTACTTTGGCTACCTAAGTCACGGGAGCTGGTGATAACTGGCTGGAGACAAACCTCAAATTGACATCTAGTAGCTCAGTTTCTTTTTGGAATGCACACAACTATTATAGGGTTTGAGTGGGGCATGCCCGTCAGTCATATATAAGCAAGATAATATCCATAAGCCAATCATCTTTTGCCTAATGTAACCATACTGTGAGGAAACTCTAAATGCTCGTAGCTGTTAAGTTGCAACTGAAGGCTATTCTATCATTTCCTCCTGTTTATTAAATTTATTGCTAAAGGAGAACCCTGATGAGAGAAGAAAGGAAAAGGGAAAAAGCATAGAAAAAAAATGGGAATCAAGAAAGAGAAAAGCATCCAGACACGGCCCACTCCTGTAGCTGCAGTTGTCTCCTGCTGTGTGAGCAGCCAGTCACTATTGACTAGGTCTCTGTCTGTCACTTGGGTTCTGATCTGAGCTGGATGTGGGGAGTAAAGCAGCCATGGGGCAGGAGACCTTTCTCAGAAGGGGTAAAGAATTAGGCCTTTGTACCAGTATGGGGGGGGGGTAAGATTCTGTGCCTCACTTCTGTTGGCCCCCAAATTTTCTCCTGATGGCCCCTCTGCAACTGTGCCTGCCTTAGGTTGTCCCTCCCTTGAGGAATCTTACCCATCATTGACTAAACAGCCATCCTCCGGGGCCAAACAGGGTGATGTGGAGTGTGCAAGGCATTGTCCAGAGAGGGCTCTCTATCTTCTTGATAGATAATGCCCCCATGGCCTCCACGCCAGCATTTACCTTAGGATCAGCAAACTCAGGTTTCTTCTCCATGGAGGACCCAGCTCACAGCACTGGGCTGGTGAGGCTGCGTTCAGGAAGGAAGGAGAAAGGTCATCAACAGACAAACAGTAATACTGTGACAAAGCCAAGAGACACAGATAGATGAAGAGAGTAGTACTAAGACTCAGGGCATGATCCCTCATAGATAACTGGCCCTTAGTTGGTGTTACTCACATCTGGTCCATAGCCGCCATCCATAAGGATGTGGAACAATCTGTTATTTCAACACTATCTTTTTCTCAAAAGATACTTCCATACAGTTTGTTTACCACAGAATCAATATATAGGTATAACTGACCATTACAGTCAGGACAATTAATCTAGTTTCATGGGTGGACTTTCCAGTCCACACTGCAAGACACATTAAAGATGGACCTGGGAAATGGGTCCATACAAGCCTTTTCATAATTTTTACTTACCTGACAAGCTCATGAAGCTGCATGGTTGTAAACTCTGTAGCTGGAAATTGACCTTCCTGGGCCAGGTTTCTCAGTCATTATCATGATGACTAGTTAAAACTCTCCTTTGATATCTGACTTAATTTATGAATCATGCTCAGTTACATTAAGACTCTCAATATTACAATTTAAGAAAAAACTTGAAATATTTGTAAAATCCAGTGTGTGTCTCTCTGGAGTCCTGTATTCCCCCCCTTTTTTTAATTTAATAAAATTGAGTAAAGGCTTGGCATAAGTCATAGTTTCATTAGTTTAAGTTATAGATAATAGTACAAATATTTAAATGATTAAGAATAGATTCACTTTTTATTGATTATTATAATTTTCCAAAATAGACTAGTCGATCCATCCTAACAATTTAGAAAGAACCCTCAATCTCTTTTTGAGAGAAGGTTTCAAAATATCTGTATATTTTAGAATATTATCTCTTAAATAGGTATCTCTTAATTGTCTTTAAAAAATATGATTAAGGTTATTTCCTAGTGTAGGGAGCACTATATAAATCTTACTGTATTTTTTATAGATAATAGGTCAAGCCAGAGAACTTTATATATAATATCAATGAATTTTTTAAGTTTGTAAACTTTATTGCTCAAAAGTAACATATAGCTTTAATTTGGAGAACTTCAGTCCTAACAAAATGTTTTTTAAATCTCATAATTATCTAACAAAAATGTAAGAATCAACAGTGTCTCAGTGTCTTACAATCAATCAAATTTAATCTCAAAGGACAATTGTCAAAATTGGGATCCAAGTTAGTAGTTCAATATATTTAGTGTTTAATGAACGATGTGAATTTATTTACCAAAATTAATCTTTGTCTTAAACAGTAAGAATTATTAGGCAATAAGGATCTTTAAGGAAATAAACTTACATTTTAATAGATGCTTATCATGTTAAAATATGGACAAAATCTTAGCTCACATCAATATAATCAAACTAGGAAAATAGTCTGAAATATCCTTGAATTAATAAGTTAAAATTTTTATAGTCAGTCCAGTATATATAAATCTTTTTTTAATTGTTCTAACTTTTTACATCATTGTTTAGATAATAATATAAAAATCTTTTTATTTAGGAAAATACTTTTATCATTGAAATATGATTATAAAGAACTTGTTTTACCCAAAAATGATTTCTTTCTTCTTTTTAGGATCCAATGTATGCTTTCTCTTTGTTGAAGCATCTTTTTCTTTTAGAATTTTTTTCTGGTTATACTTTGGAACAATTTCTGAAAACCTTAGAATCTATAAACAAATTATTGTACTTTGATAAGAAACATCAATGAAAATATAGCTAAATTTTTTAGATATTTTGTAGACAGAATTATATTTGTTTATCATCTTATGAGTTTGAACAATAACTTTGAGAATTAGAAACTACTTGAAGATTAAATTTTTACTTAAAAGCAAATTTATAGTAAATATATTTATCTCAAATATCTGTAACTGAAAAGACAAAGTATCTGATAAATGTACGTATAAAACATGTAAATTATGGGTTTTCTGTGAAGAAAAACAATTAGGCATATATATTAACTAAACAATTAGACATGTGCTAATTATTTTATAGATTAACAAATATAGGTTATCTGAATATCTAGAAAAATATATATTAAGAATAAGGACATAACTTATAATTGTATTAACTTTATGCAACCATGTGGTTTTTAAAATACTTGGATCCATTTCAATTTATTTTTACTTAGGAGTGCACTCTTTTATGTGACGTCACTTTATGTAACTGAAATAAGATCCTTGCGTATACATATTTATTTTTTATAGTTAGGAATGAGAATAAGGATTTTGGGGTCATAACAGGAACAATGCCGGCTTTTGTTCCTGTGGCGAGCAAAAGCATCCCCATAACCTCCAAAATTAAAGTTAAATACAAACAAGCATGTTTGATATCTCTTATTAATAGAACATTATTTAGTAACACAACTATAGAGAAAAGTCAGGTTATTTAACTCAGAACTAACTTAAATTTAGGGCTGCAACACAGAAATCTGTGGAATTAAATTTTGACTGAAAAAGATATCTTTCTTTAACATTTACAGATAGGCATTCTTAAAAATATAGGCTCTGAGTAGCTCTGGTAGCAATCTGAAAGAGGAAGTACAGGTTAGTGGCTGGAAGGTGGGAGGGACTGTGGAAGAACCAATCAGAAGCCCACGAAAGTGTGGGAGGTGGGAACAGGAAGTCTGTTCTTCCTGCCAGGCACCTCATTGTTACCAGGGTGACGCAAACAACATGGAGTCTGCTGCCCATAGTCAGGGCAAAAGTTCCCCAAGTTTTCCTAGCCAATTGCATTTTGTTTGATTTTGTCTGCATTTTCCCCCGCCTGGCCAAGATCCTACTGTGGTAGCAGCTTGCTTTGTCTCTGCCACCTGCGGTTGCAACCTGTGTACTCCTGCATCCTGCACTTTTTTCTGTGGCATGTGGGTGCTCCAAAAGTTTTTTAGTGACAGACACCAGCATTACCATCAGATTAGTCTGTGTTCATCATTTAGGTCAAGTAATTTAAGGATTAAAAGCACTGCTGGCCCCTGGGGCTAGGACCCCATAGTGAGCAGCAAGCTGCAGCAGCTAAAGTCTCTTGTCCCCAGCAGCTGAATTATAGCCATTCTGATTCTAGGACAATCATGTAGCAAAAAGGTCAGTACATCCTTTTTGAGTATTGATGAAAACAATAGAAAATTGAAACTTATTTCTCTCCAGGTAAACATCACAACATTTTCTCTCCCTTTTTAATAACTATATTTATTTAGAATCTCTACAATTATACCCTGACATTAAAAATTTTAATGTCACAGATTTTCCTTTTGTCTAATTCACTTACTTTCTACAATTCAGCCCACAATACTCTACAATCCTAAGCATGCTTAACTTCTGGAGAGAACTTTCAACTTCATTAAACTTTTAATATTTAAATTGGAGTCCCCTTAAGAGCAAGCATTTGTCGCTTTTGTCCCTGCAGCTTAAAGACACTGACCTTTCGGCCCACATTGGATGCCAATTGCCAGGTTTCTGTTCTCACGACTAAAAGGCTCAGGGGTCACTCCAGTTAAACTGGGTTAACTGGGCTGCATGAAATAACCACACAAGAGACACAAATACCTTTTTCTTTGGGGTCGCTGTGACGGCTCCTCTGACCTTAAGGGTCTGCAGGAAGAGAGAGCCGAGACCATGTGATGACCCCTTTTATTGAGGGAAGCTATTCAAATGAGGCAAGGGGTCAGGTTTTGGGGGACTTAGTATCTTCATGATGTCCACTGTTAGCAGGTTGACTGACACCTGGGTAGGCCATACCCAAGGGCACAGTAAGAAAAGGGGACACACACAAGGCACTTCCATGGAAGATTCTATCCTAAAGAGGGCAAGAGGTTATATTACAAAGGAACAGGTGAGCATAGCTTCACCCATGGGGATGTAGCAAGACACACCCATGCAGGAGACAGTGACCCTCGCACCCAAGAAGGGTGGGGAAAGCTCTGCGACTGAGCGCCTCAGCACCAGCCGAGGAGTGTAACCCAGTCACGTATAAGGTTGGTCTCCCACAAGATTTTCAGCAAGTATTGCCTTACGGGGAGGGTTTCAGAATCATCCATGCCATTGGCAAGGGCCCTGGTCCCTGGACAAGGCACATAATGAGAGGAGAGATGCAGCCATGTCGAGTTCTGTGTTTATACAGGCTTGAGAGCATCAGTAGCTCTTAAAATCAGTCTTCCTAGAAGGAATACAGGTAAGAATGTTGCTTGATCCCAGAGTTGTGAAGACTCCATCCACAGGGTGAGGGCTTGGAGAGGGGGCCATGCTGTCTTCAGGGGTTCTGCCCTGCGGGTCAGGTCAGAGAAGCAGAAAGATCAGGCCAACACTCACAGTCCCTGGATACTGTAAAACTCAGAGAACTCCAAAACCAGGAAGGAGCTCCCTTCTTTAGATGGCAAGGAGAATAAGTAGATGCCTTTCCAAGGCCACAGGAAGGAGGGAGCAGAATGAGCCAGGATCTGGTCCAACTCCTGGGCTTTGGCTTTAGACAGCCTTAGAGATGCCTGGAGTTTGGGACTGGCCTTCACAAGTCTGCCCTTGGGCTGGCTCTACAGACAGCAGCTCTACAGAAATAAACCCATCAGTTGAAGCTGTCACCAACCCTGGCCCAGGAGCCAGGCACTAATTGCCCATTCTTTTTATTGCCTGAGAGAAGAAGGGTTCTTAGTAGAAGTCACAGAAAGTTGTAGAGCCAGGGTAAGGCAGTTGCCCAGATAGGAGCATACCAGAGGCAGGTGGCAGCATCTTGTAGGCTCTGTAGAGCTGGTCAAGGAGCTCCTTCTTCTCATCCTCTGGGAGGAAACTGGACTTCGCTGCATTGATGTTCTAGAAGGGCCAGGGTGACAGACCATATAGAACCAGACAGCAAGGAAGGGAGCCCTTGGCAACCTACTGGTAATCCATCCTCCTTAGAGCATGGGCAGGGAAGCTCAGGGGAAGGACTTGTCCCAGGTCACATGGCATCAAGTGGCAGAGCAGAGTGTTCTTAAAGTGGCACTACATGATACAGGATGTGCGGAGAAGGTTGGAGACTGGGAGATCCTTGGAAGTGTGGGGCCAGAGACCCTTGCAGGGAGTAATGGCATCGTGTCCCCAGATCCCGGGCTCAGCCTGGGATCTAAGAACACATTTCTACAGCTAGGCACACCATTCTGGGGAAGGGAGTCTTTGAAGATGTTCGGCCCAAGCAGAGGCTAAACCCAAGACTCCACCACCAAGGTGTCCCTCTGCAGAAGGCAGCTGGCAGTAGGCTTGGCTTATGGTGGACTCCCATCAACAAACCCACTCCCACCCCCTGGGGGGTCCCAAGCCCTGGACATGACCTGCAGGCCTTACAAAGCCCTGAGGCCCAGGGCAAGAGTGACAGCTCACAACCACTCACCAGTCGCTTAAAATCCTCCTCGGTGAAGCCCATGTCCTGTTTGGTCATGTGGTAGTCAGTGTCCAGGGTGGACTTGAAGATGAGCGGGTCATCTGAGTTGAGTGAGTAGTTGGCCTGGTCGTTCTTGAACCTGGGGTGAGGGAGGGAGAAGAGCCTCCTCACTCTCCTGTGAATGGTCCCTGCATATTGGTTCCCAGCCTCCACTGATCGACACAGCCTTAGACCTGAAGGAGCATATTCTGGTAGAGTAGGAAACACATCACAGAGCTCAGGGGACTTTGTACAAAGCCACCTAACTAGCAACTTAAGACCCTAATGTATCCCATCAGTCCAGCCAGGCAGAGGAAGGGCCTGATGGGAGAGCAGGGGGAGGGGGGGCTGGGGGCGCTGAGAAAGCAGTGGCCCTCCAGCCACCATCCTCCTGCCCATGCTCAGGGACGGTGCTCCACACCCTTCCCCAACCAGTCCTCAGTCCCCTCCCTCCACTCCCCTGTTGGCAGCATCCCTGACCTGACCCCTGTCTTATTAAATGTAATGGAGTTTTCCTAGCTGTTCCCTTAATTGACTTCTTTTTTAATTATTAGTTTTTTAATACCTTTCTTTTATTTATTTTTTTATGTGGTGCTGATGATCGAACCAGGGCCTCGACGTGCCAGGTGAGTGCCATACCACTGAGCCACAACCCAGACCCCTTTACTTTGACTTTTGTAGCAGAATTTGACACTACTTAAAGTGCTTTCCCTAGATTTTTATTGACATTTTTGGTTTTCCATCTACCTGTGTCTTCTTCCTGCCCCTTGAATCCTCCTGGGTTCTCTCCTAGCCTCTGGCTCCACCATCTCCTGGTGTCTTTGCTTCCCCTTTAGGCACCATGACTGTGCAGATGGCTCCTGAGCCTTCGTAGCCTGCGGGCTGTCTGCCCACATGCCCCGGAAAGCCCCTACTGGGGCATCTCGACTCCAGATTCCCAGGGCCAGCTGGGGACCCTCGCCATCACACACTCCTTCCCTTCACTAAGCGTGGCAGGCAGGCCAGCACTGGCCGCCATAGTCACTCTGAGTTATGGCTGTCCTCATCCTCCTCAGGGGAAGGCAGCTTGGCTCTCTGACACCACGACCCAGCACTCAGTCACAGGACAGAAGGGCTTTGGCCTGAGAGCCGGGAAATTGGAACCAAGAGCACCCCGAGGCCCCAGGAGCAGCGTACACAGGCAAGACTGACCTTGGAGGCCCAGGAAGAAGAGCTCTGCCAGAGGGTAGGTGGGTGACCTCAGCCAAGTTCTAGCACATCTGAGTTCCAGGTTCCCCGTGTGGAAGGTAAGGACAGCTAAGCTGCTTCCTAAAGGAATCCCACAGCGTGGGCCGGTCCCCAGCCCTGCACTACCTTCCCATCCTTGGCTTCCCAGGAACAAAATCAAATGGGTCCCAGGGACCAGACCTCACCGAATGACAGCGTGCTCCGTGTCTGGCTTCCAGGCACCTGTGAGGTAGCTAGACCAGGGGCAGACCTGCAAGAGCAGATACGTGGCTGGCAGGCAGCTCCAGGCTGCACCACCCTGTCCCTGCACCCTGGGGTGGCCAGGGTCACCATTCTTGCTGGCCTCCGTGTGGCTGAGCCCTACAAACCCTCCATGCCTAGCACTGGAACACCCACTGGCCGCTCCTGCCGGCTAGTCTGCTCCTCAGCTCTTGAGACCCTCCTGGCTTTCTTTCTTTCTTTCTTTTTAAACCACTGTTTTGCATTTTTTTTAAGAACTTTATTTAAAATTTTTTTTAATGTGGTGCTGAGGATCGAACCCAGTGCCCCACACATGCTAGGCAAGCATTCTACCACTGAGCCACAACCCCAGACCCACTCTCCTGGCTTTCTATTGCTCTGTCCAGGAGGGGGTGGGACAGCCAAGACCGGCTCCCCCTACCTGATGGCCCCCTCACCTCAAAGTGCATGTTTTCCTGCCGCAGCCTGTTGTAGAGGGCCTGGTCATCCAGGGTGTGGTAGCCATGTCCCACCCTCTCTGTTTTGAGTGTGTCCACAGCCTGTGGAGCAGCAGATGGAGCTGAGTAGGGAGAGAGGGTGGAGGGAGGCAGGGAACAAGGGCCACTCCAAGGCCAGTGGCTCTCACCTCTCGGACCACCTCTGCAGGACTCGACTCTCCTGCATGGACAGTGCGGTGGATGCCGCTCCTTACTGCCTCCTGGAAGGGGAAGAGCCAGTCAGGACCCACAGGCCCAGCCTTTCCTGCAATTTGGGTTTGAGTATGGGCAGGTTGAACTGTCCCCACCACCAGGCTTGGCTGCTTCTACATCACTGGACAGCCTGGTCTTGATTCCCCCAATCACCATCTAAGTGCTTGTGGCTCTCAGTTCTTCCACAGTTACCATGTGTCGGGAACTGTTTGAAATGGTTTGTATAAACCATCTGAGAGTCATAGTATTATAACACCCAACTTACCAAGGGGAAACAAGCTCAGAAGAGCTAAGTAGCAGGACAAAGGCCAACCAGCAAGTGTGAACCAAGGAAACAGTGACTCAGAGAAGAGACAGTCTTGCCCCAAAGTCACACAGCAAATCATAGGCAGATGCAGGTTTAAACACAAGATTTCAGTGCTACATAGGACTTTCCTTTATACCCAATCCCAAGCCCCCAGCCCAGCCAAGACACATTCAGGGATGCAGCAGGCCCCACACTCCCCATCTGTGTGAGTTCTTCCTACAAGCTCACCCAGGGCCAGCCTCCCCTTCCACGGGCCCACCTCGTAGGCCTCCACATGCCCCGGGAAGTAGCTGCTTCCTTTGATGGTCTCATCACCAGCCAGGTCGATGGCCACCACAGTATGATGCTGGTACTTCTTACACAGCTCCACCACTTCCAGGGACCAGTCTGTGGCGAGACGCCCACCAGGGCTCCATCAGCAGCATGGTGGAGCGGGATCCCTCAGCCCTCCTACCTGCTGTCCTATGCACCCATCGGAGGCTAGCACAGGACAAAGATCCCAGTGTCTTGTCTCAAATCCTGGATGCTGAGTCAACCACATGGCCTTTGTCAAATTGCACTGCTCCACGCCTCGGACTCCTCTCTTCCCAGAGAGAACCCACCACCTCTACACAGGGACCTGGTGAGGCTTTGCCGAGGCCATGTATAAAGTACCAAGGACAGAGTCTGAGCTGTTCCCCCACTCAATGCCAATCAGTCCCCCCAATTAAAGGGGATGACACAGAGCTTAACATTGTATCTCCAATGCAACTCACACTGGTATTGCCAGCCATACCACGAATGCATGAGTTACCCTCAGCCTGTCGTCGTTTTGTTATGTTGACAAAGAATAAATGAACACAAGCTTCAGAACCACACAGTTCTGGATTTAACTCGGGGCTTTGTGCCTTCCTGAGGGGCCAAGAGGCTTTGCCTTTCTCTGACTCGGTTTCCCATCTGTCAGATGGGAATAAACCACGGTAGTCCCACCTCAGAGCTGCTGCAAGGGCTAGAGACAAGGCATGTGAATCGCTGCCCAGGGTGGGCCCGCAGGTTGGCACTGACCCTTGGCTTTGTTCCCAAAGATTCTTACAGTGGAGGGATGAGACGAGCACGATCCTCTTGTGATAACATGTCACTGAGGCCCAGGGAGGTGACGTGACCTGCCTGCCTAAGGGCACACGATGGGGCTCTGCTCCAAGAAGCTAAAGCCCTAAAGATTTGATCAGGTTCAGGGACAAGGGTGTCCTCTCAGCAATCCCAGAAATCAGGCCCATGCAAGGGTTCTGTGGCCTGGACAGGATGAGGCTGGGCCCACAGGGTCTCATGGGAGAATTATGGGCTGTTTATTTTCAATTGTTCAGGCTCCTCTGGTTTTGAGCTTTCTGCAGGTCATGTAGTTAGTTGTCAAGGCCTTGTTTTCCCGGGGAGGATGGTATCACCAGGAAGTTCGTAGCCAGCCTAGGAGGCCTCTGGTGCTTTGGGAGCTCCAGGACCCTGCTGATGTGCTCATGGGATACCATGGGGTAGGGGCACAGAGGAGGCCATGTACGGCCCCATGGCCAAGCAGAAGGTTGGGGCCAGGGTCAGGTGGGCAGCTGGGCAGGCACTGATGGTACTCACTGGGCTGGTGGCGCATGCAGCACAGGATGGATCGCACCTTGACCCCAAAGTCTTGCTCCCCCTCCTTCAGGCCCTGGCCCACTATGTCCACCACTTCATCTGCGGTGAGGTCCCCTCTGTGTGGAAAGGAGTAGTGATAGCCTGAGGCAGAGGGAAGGCCTGGGATAGCCCCTACCGCGGGGTGGGGAGTCTCCCCCACTGCCCATTTCCTCTGAGGAAAGACTCACAGAGACGACCCTGAGCCCCAGCACCCCCTGCCAGCTTTCTTAGAGCAGTCTGGGCACTTCTAGATCCCGGTGTGGGGCTGCGGGCCACCCCTCTCCACCTCTGGATGGAAATAGAGCATGACGAAGCTCAGCCTGGGGATTACTGCCTTCCACGGGGATCAGAATCGAGGCTCTGAAGGTGGGGCAAGCGGGCTTCATGATGTCACTCTAAATCCCCGGGGGCCCAGTGTGGGAGAAGAACAGGCCAGACTCATTCCTACTAGGGGACTGAGCAGGACCCTTAGAGCTGCTGGCTAAGTGGGTGAGCCTGCCCTGACAGCAGGCCTGCATCCAGAGCCATGGGCGTGAGACACAGCCAACACTATTGTCCAGAGTAAATCATGAACCTCCAGCTGAGGGAGGGGGACCATATCTCTATGGCCACGTTAAGCCCATCTTCATGAGGCCATGGATCAAGACCAAGATCAAGGTTAGGAGCTCCCAGTGGTCCTGCCCTCTGAAAAACCTGGAAGTTTTCACCAAGAAGAGTGGAACACAGACCCCCTCAGCCCAGCTCCTCTCCAGGCTGTCACTCACTCAGCCTGGTTCCAGGGAATTGGTTCCACTTTGGAGTTGGCCAGCAGGTGTGGGCTGTAGCGCACCTCCACATACACCACGCCCTCTTTGGCCTTCATCTCCACAAACTCATAGGCAATTCTTTTGATGGCTTCTCTGGAGCCTCTGGGAAGGGAAGAACAGGGTTGGGACCAGCCCCTTGGGAGCTCCAGGAACAAATGAGGCTGACCCCAACCTTTTCTGGCCCCCAATCCCTCATTCCCCAGCCCCAAGCTCTGGGCATCTGCTGGGTAGGATCCCAGACCTGCAGCTCTATTTCCAAGCCACACCTACCCTGGTTTCACCCGTGGCCGCTGGCTGGCCTGTCTCCATGCTTACCCTGCACCCCACTCTCCACACAGCCTCTGGAGCAAGCTTTTGAAAATGGAGCCGGGGCTGGGGTGCAGCTCAGGGGTGGAACACCTGCCTACCTTCCCCCAGGCCCTAGGTCCATTCCCAGCACCACAAAGACAAAAACGGAACCAAAGCATATTGCTCCTCTCCTCCACCAAGGTGGCTTCCGTCTCCTGAGTGAACTTCAAATTCACGCCCAGCCCACAGGCATGATTGGCTCTCGCCAGGCTTCGCAGCGTCTTCCTTCTCACCCACTCTCTGAGGCCACCAGATCTTCTTTCTGGCCAAGGGCAGTCAAACTTGGTCATTTCCACTTCAGGCCTTTGGGTAGCAGCCCCCTCCACCAGAGGGCAAATCCCCTGCCCTGGCCCATCCTGTAATTCTTCCCTCCTTTTATAGCCTCCTGGCCTCAGTGGCCTTCCTTGACCACCTGCTTATAGGAGGGTCCTCTGTCAATCTTCACCCCTCCCCTGGCCTTCATTTTCCTCCACAGGCCTTATCACACTTGAGATTATTTATCTCACGGCTTTTAGAAGCCACTCCTGTCTCCCCTACCAGAATCTAGTCTCCATAAGCTACAGGAGCCTGAGAATCGGTCATGGGCTTATCTGCTGTGTGACTCTGGGTTAGTCACCCTCTCTGACACATCAAAAGTTATCATGAAGACAGATGAGCTCAATATCATAAACCTCACCTAGGCCAGTGCTTGGAGCAGAGCCCACAAGTGCTAAAAGTATTTTGGTGGCTGCTGCCGAGTATTGGCTCCAGAAGTGAGGCATAAACCCACCTGCAAGGGCCTTCGTGAGCATTGACCAAACGCCAGAGAACTGTGCCTACCTGGAAGTTTTCACCAAGAAGAGTGGAACATAAGGGTTAGTAAGGGAAGGTCAGGGCCTGAGAGCCCAGATGGGAAGGTGTGCCCTGCCTGGGAGGAGGGGTCCTGAAGGCAGAGGAGGCAGGAAGCTGGCTCCTCCAGGGACAGGCCAGGGCCCTGGGCCTCAGACCTGCCCTAGGGAGGAGGCTGCTCACTTGCCCCCACACACCTGGCCACTGCCCCTCCCCACAGCTATCACTCATTCGTTCCCCAAGAGGGTGTTGAGTCCCAGCACTGTGGCCACATGGTCCTAGGCACTGGGTGTGCTGTGGGCAGGAGGGGAGGTCCCTGTCCCGTAGAGGCCGCTATCCAGCAAGAGGCCGGCCAGCAAGGATGTGATGCGCAGTAGGCCCCATGGCTGCCAGTTCTACAGACACCAAGAAAGCAGAAAAGGCCACTGTGACTCTCAAGACTGTAGTCAGGGAAGGCCTCACTGAGAAAGGGACATCAGAGCTGAGATGTGAAGAAGGTTGAGATCTAGGCAGAGGGATCAGCAAGGGCAGAAGTCCCAGGTCACAGAGTGCCTGGTGTCCAAGGACAGGGGAGGACTAAGCAGGGGACGTGGTGGGGTGAGGGTCAGGAGGTAAGGACCCAGAGCACACAGGCTGTGCCCTTGACAGGGGGCCCTTGGCTTTTACTCCAAAGGACACAGAAGACAGGGAACTGGGGCAGGGAAGGGGCTTAGATGTGAAAGGGTCAATGATACGTCTCTGGCACTGTCCCATGCCCACCTCTGGACCTTTTTCATGGCTTAATAATGTCCCCACCGACTCATTGATTCAAGACAGGCAAAAAGGAGCCTCAAACCCCTCCCCGAACCCAGGCCCCAGAAGCCAGCCTCCGCCTCACAACACAAGGCCCAGAACTGAGGAGAGAAGCCCTGGATTCATGGCATGCTGGCCTTTGACCCCATGTCTTCTCTGGACCTGTTTCCCTGGGTCTAGATAGGGTGCAGATGGGGCTCCCTGTCTGTCATCTGTGGTGGTGGCATGGGGGCAGGGAGGACAGACTTTCATGGACCACGCAGCTCTGGACAGATGGTATCTAACGGTCTGCCCAACTCAGGCCTCCAGGTACTTGGGCCTCTTCTGTCTAGTGAGATGGGAGCTGCCCAGTGGCATGGGAGATGGTGGCCTCATGAGGCACCACAGTGTGGGCCGGAGCTCTGCTTGTGCACCTGTGTGGTCGGCATAGGGGTATTGTGGGGAGAAGAGACACATGTCCCTGCATCTCTGCTCACCAGGCCATGGGCGAGGGCAGAGGTACCTTCAACACTGAGCCCAGAGGCTTCCAGCAAGGAGTCAGCAGCCTGGGCCCACCTTGGCCTTCCCTGGATTCTGCGCTCTGTCTTGTCTCTCAGCAGCCCGTCTGGGCCACCTCACACATCACCCTCTCTGGCCCATCTTGCAATACTTTCCTCAAGTCTAGCACGATTTCCCACACCTGTGTCCCTCACAGATGGCCACCCTTCCACCTCTAGGAAGCTTCCCCAGACCACCCCACCCTGTCTCTTGTCTCCTGAGTCCACAGGACTGAGTGCTAAGACAGATCCTTGCCTGCTGTGGGGCCCTCTCCTCGGGCCAGGAGGTCTGAGGCATGACCAGAATGAGGATTGAGGCATGACCAGGGTGAGAAGTGGAGCTTCTCCCTGGCCAGTTCTGTGGTCCTGACAAGCTCTTTCACCACCCAGAGCCTCTGCAAATGAGGGCCATGTTTACCTTGCAGGACTACTGACAACTTACAAAGTCAAACCCAATTCTGTAAGCTGTACATGTATTATACTCTTCTTTGCCTAAGAGATTTCTGCTATTAAGAATGGAAGCAAGTCAGGCACAGTGGCACACGACTGTGGTCCCAGCTACACAGGAGACTGAGGCAGGAAAATCACAAGTTCAAGATCAGCCTGGGCAATTCAGTGACATCCTGACTCAAAATTTAAAAAAGGTTGGGAATGTAGCTCAGTGATAGAGTGCCTCTGGGTTCTACCACTAGTTCTGCAAAAAAAAAAAAAAAAAAAAGGAAGCAATGAGAGCTACACTATACAGGCCCCAGTGCCTGGTGTCTACAGAGGGAGTAATTATCTTCCAATCTTCCAAGTGAGAAGGATTTGCTGAGGACAGTGCTGGGTCCCTTCCAAATGCCAGCCCTATTATACACATGGGAAAACTGAGGCCCAAAGAAGGTAACTGCCCAATGTTGCTGTTACTCCACCCCAGAGTCTGAGATTAGCATCAGCGTTCTTAACTCCCATATTCTGCCACTTTTTTGTAGACATTGCAGGCATTTCCATTCATCACATCCACTTTTCAGAAGGGACAACCAAGGCCCAAAGACATTGGAGAGATGTGTCCAAAAGGCCCCTCTGTGGTTCCCAGAGGCTGAGGCCTAGACCTGGTGCTAGGCACAGAGATGCACACTGCCCTGGGTCCCGTGGGTTGGGCTGACTCACGCGATAGCAGGCATGTAGTAGTCAAACTTGCTCAAGAACTCTGGCAGAGACAGGGGCTTGTCCATGCCAATGATGTTCTTCAGCTCCTCTGCCGTGTTAGCTGGGAGGGCGATCCCTCGCTTCCTGAGAAGAAGACAGTGAGGGTGGAGGATCCAGCCAGGCCTGACGGGGTGGGATGGAAGACTCCACTCGGAGCCTAGCAGGAAACCCAGGGACATCCAACTCCTTCCCTCAGACGGATGGGAAAACTGAGGTCCAGCCCCTATAGAATCAGGACTGGAATTCTTCCCAGACCTTCTGGCCCTAAGCCAGGGGAAGTCAGCAGATCTCAAGAGTGACAAGCAGGGGTTGAAGTCTCCATGTCACATACCTTCCTCGTCCCTGCTAGGCCAGCATCTGCAAGTGCCAGGACCAGCCCAGGACTTCTTTCCAAGCCCCAGGAGTGACTAGAGCCAGCTGGTCCTGTGCCCAGGCAGGGGTTATCAGGGGCAATAACTGCAGCGTCACAATGCCTAAGGCAGAAATTGGGGCAGGACTTCCCCTTCCACCCTCCTCCTGGATGACACATCAGAGTGGCCTGCCTGGTCTAGCACACTAGGAGGGTGTGTGTGGCAGCTCCTGAGGTGGAAGGTCTCAATGAGCTGGCCATCCAGTGTAGAGCTCTGTCCCCTCCTTCCCCCAGCTCCTGGCACAGGCTGGATCTTGGCAACCTGCTGAGTATACCCCTGTTGCTCAGAGCCCCCTTTACCCAATGGTGTCCCTGCCCCCCTGTGACTATGGGAAGGTGGTGCCAGCTCAGGGGCAGCCTCCTTCTGCACGTGCTCCTGCCTCCTTCTCCTGTCCCACCTGGACCCTGGCACAGGGCTCATCCTAGGCTTCAGTTTCCCCACGTGAGAGAAAAAGAGAGAGAGAGAGGGAGGGAGGGAGGGAGAGAGAGAGAGAAAAGTGACAACCAAGGAAATGCATCCAACACGAGAGAGAAAACAAGAGCAGATAAAAGTCACTCAGGGAACAAAGCAGAGAAGAGGACATACAAAAAAATCTAGAGGGAATGTCCTTAAGGAGTTGAGAAGATGCTGCATCCATGAAATAAGATTTTTTTTTTAAGGGACCTCAAGGGGCTGGGGAGGTGGCTCGGTGGAGAGTGCTTGCCTATCACATTTGCGTCACTAGCACTGAAGATGAACTTTTTAAAGGTTTTCATATGTAACTGCCTATTCTCCAAGCCCTGTGAATATGCCCCTTCCTATCTGGTAGCCTTAGTTCCCTATGGGGACCCACTAGGCACCGCCCAGGTCAGGTGGGTGCCCACCAGCCTGCCAGTCAGCCATCTATGGCTGTTTACTATAGGGGACAAGGTGACCCTGTGTGGTCTTGGTATATACAGGACAGATGCCTGGCACCCTATGATAACCCCCAGTGTCCAGTCTCCCACTGCTGGCCAGCTTGCCCCAAGGTCACCTCCATAAGTCCATGTCCAGTCACTAGACCCTGCAGAGCCTCTGGGTGAACAAGCCGTCAGACTGTGTGAAGACAATGACTTTGATGGTGGCCTTGACCAGGAGATGGGGAGGCCAGAGTGGACACTGGAGGCGTCTGTACACAGTTGGGAGGTTATTCCCAGGGCCAAGGGAATAACCTAAGCTTCAGTTTCCCCACTTTTAAGATAAAAGGGACAAGAGAGAGACAGCAACAGGAAGAGAGAGTGGCCAGGTTCGGAGTGGTGCTTTGGAGAAAGCTGACAGGTCGTGAAGGAGACTGAGAAGACGTGAAAGAGGCCCCTGGTGAAGACGGAAGGAGGCCAGAGCTGAAGGAAGAAGAAAGGGTGAGAAGAGAGTCACCGAGACAGGAGACACCATGGGTTGGATCTGCAGGCCACAGGCCAGTGGCTCCCCCTTCCAGCCCTGCCAACTCCACACCCACGTCCAGGCCCCTGTCTGCTGACTCCAGGCCAAACTCCATTTGGTACTGCCCACCCTCTCCAGGGTCCACAGAGGTGGCAGTGGCAGGAGACAAGGGACATCAGACCAGCCGCCATACTGACTCCTCCCTCCGTTTCCCCACCACCCTGCCCCTGCGCTCTGGCCTTCATGCTTTCGCTAATGAGCGCTCTCTGACCCCTTCGCAGTGGTGATTAGATTCAACCTCATTGTCTCACCCCGAGGACCCCTCTGGGGCTCTGTGGCAATAGTTGGCAGCACCAAGTTGGCAAAGGGCAGGCAGAAATAAGCCCAAGATTCATTCCATTCGCTGGAGCCATGAAGTGCTGATTGATAACACAATTGTCCTGAGCTGTTTATGGGCAGGAGACCCTGAGCTAAGTGGGTTTTCCTGCGCTACCTCTCCAAAACCTCCAGCTGCATGTGTTATGGTGGGGGACATGGATTGGGGTCCACCTCATGCTCAAACCTCTGCCCTGAGTTTACCAGGCAAGCTATTGCACTTGCCATGGCTCTGTGTCCTCACCTATGAAGTAGGGCACCAGAGTACCCACCTCATGAGAGGATGAGGCAGAGTGCTGAGGAATGGGTGGAGCACCAGCAATGCCAGTGTGCCCGTGTTACACAGCTAAGGAAATCACACCAGCAGCCTCCCAGGGCAAAGGGTCACCGGAAAAACACCAAGGTGGAGGGAGCAACTCACCAGAACAGTCTTGGGGAGGTGGAAGAGGTGCTCCCAAGTCAGGGACAAACTCTCAAGGGCCACTAGTTTTCTCCTGAGGGGCAGGTGTGATGAGGGCCACAATCAAGTTAAGATGGCGCCTGGCAGTATGCCAAGAGGAGTGGTTGTGAAGTAACACCAGCAAGCCATTAGGATGATGAGGATTCCTTAATGACTGACTGCTGTGTCAAGATGATGTCAATTAAGTAAAGCTGTGTGTAATTAGTTAGGTATATGTACCTCTACAGTCCGGCAGAGAGGCGGCTCCTGCTACCCTGGATGCCCACTACTTTGAGTTCTCAGTTCCTGCTGAGTTCACTGGCAATAAAGTAGTTCCTGCTTCAACCTTCAAGTTGCTTGTCACCTCTCGGTTATTTTGCCTAGCCGGACTTGGGCAGCCTAGCCGGACTACGGCACATGTGCCTGGACACCTGAGAGAATCCTGGTTTACAGGATAGAACGTTCAAGTTTGGTGAACCTTTGAAGATCATGGGGGCGAACTGAGTCCTTCCAGCTCCAAACAGTGAGTGGGCAGCAAACAGGTGAAGGATGCAGAGAGGAGTAGGAGAGGCATCTCCCAGACAGCTCTGGAAGGAGGCCCTAGCTGAACTCAACCCCCACAGACCACCTTTTTCTGCCCATGGGCTGGCTTGATTCCCACAAAGATCCATAAGATGCAGTGACCCTGGACTTTTCTAGAAAATTTTGAGGAGCCATGGACTCCCTCAACTTCTGGGGAGACAGATCCTGGCTATGGACTTACCTGCCGTAGTATAAGATGGTTTCAGGCTTGATGGCTCCATCCAGGTGGACATGCAGTTCTACCTGCAAGGGGCAGAGGGAAGAGAGAGGGAACACCCATGGGTGCCTGAAGAAACTTTCAGGGGTCGTTAACGTCAACCATGAGGACCACTGGACACCACTGCCTGGACACTGACCACATGCTTTGATTTAACCCTCACCATGGGGTGGGCTCAGTTGCTATCTCTCTTTCACAATTGAGGACACTGAGGTTCAGAGAGGTTAAATTTCTTGTCCAAGGCCATGGAGCAAGCAATGTCAACAGGCATCTGACCCAGGGCCCTGCTCCTAACCCCAGCCAGGCAATGGCAGAGCCAGTTCCCAAGACTGTGCTCTTAACCACAAGGCCAGCCAGGGTCCCATGGGAACCCTTGAGCCCCAGCCACCTCTCAGATAGCTCCTACTCTCAGCCACCTCACTAAACCAAATCCAAGTTCAGCAGAGAGGGCTAAGGACTACAGATACCACAGTGAGAACCTGTAACACATTTAAAAGTTCAGGCTCCAAGTTGGGGGATTGATATTCAGCAGCACGAGGTCTTTCTAGTACTCTAGGTAGGGTACTGGATACTTGGTGGTCTTGGCGATCACTCCCCATGGACTCATTCTCATCTCACATCTTGTACACAAAGCAAAGACACAAGCCAGCAGGGGCTTGGAGACCACCCATCTGGCTTTACTCTAGTGCTGCTCCTTCTCTGGCTGTGGAACCTCAGACAAGGTGCTTGATATCTCCTAAGCCTCAGTTTCCTCAATTCAAAAACAATGGGACTTGACACCGCCTTGTCTAAGAAAAATTGTAAGGACTTATAAAAGACATTGTGGCACTTAGGTATGGCCCCAGGGGAACAGCCCCTGCCTTTCAACCAGGGCATTCACTGTGAGCTGGTAAGAGGCATGGAAGGTGCTGGGAGACCGTGGGCTAAAGGACTTTGCCTATTCCAGGTCAGAGAGGAAACTTCCCAGGCCAGAGAAGAAGAAAAAAAAATCCCCACTGACATCTCCACCAGAAAAGGATCACCTCTGGAACTTGGAGGCCCAGATAAGAAAGTGAGATGCCTTGGTGAGGAAGAGCAGCAACTAGGGAGCTGGCCCTTACAGAGGAGACTTGGCTGGGGCCCACAGGACTGGCAAGGACCAGAGATGCCAAGCCGCCTAAGGCAGGACCTCAGGGTGCTCAGATCTCTCCTGAGGTCTTCTACCTGGTGAGGAACAGCAGTCCTCACACCCAGACTTGGGGTCAAGTTAGCTGTTGGGTCCCTGACCAAATAATTTAATTCCCACCCCTGGCTAAAGCACACTCAGCATTAGGACCCTGTAGCCCAGAGATCTGCCAAGCAGCTGTGTGACCTAGAGCAAGTATCCTCCCCTCTCTGAATCTCTACTTTCTTATCCTTAACCCTCATAAGGCTATGGGGAAGATATAACAGAGGCAGTTATACTATTCTGAGAGCATCACACAGTGACAGCTGGCATCCTGGCTTCTCCATTCACTTCCCGTGTGACCTGAAGAAAGTCACCACTCTCTGTGTCTCCATAACCTCATCTGTCAAATGGGAAGAACAATATACCTTCCTCTTAAGGCTTCATGAGGTCAACCACATTAATGCACCTGGAGCACTTGACACATAGCGACACACAGCAAAAGGTAAACACGAGTCCACCGCCACCTTTCACTAAAAAACAGTGCCAGATTAGATGGCCCACAACTGGAGTCCCAACAACTCAGGAGGCTGAGGCAAGAGGATCACAGGTCCCAGGCCAGCCTGGGCAACAGAGAAAGACCCTGTCTCAAAATAAATAAAAAAAAAAATTAAAAAGGGCTGGGGATGCAGCTGGGTTGTAGAGCACCCTAGAACAGAAAAATCAATCAATTAATAAAAATTATGTAGCACTGCTGGGTGCTAGGGGGGCAGATCGAAGCAAAAGGGATGAAGTCTTGTTCCTGTGTCACATGCGGTCCAGCAAGGGACAGAGGTATCAAACCAATGTCACATGCATAAATGTGCAGTCTCAAACCAAGATGGCCCCTCAGGAAACACAAGCATAAATCCTGCAAGATAGTTCCATATTCTGAACTGAGCCCAGCCGGAGGCCAGCAGTGATGGCCTCCCAGGGAAACGGGCCCTAAGCTCCACCCGGAGGAGCTAACTAGGCAAGAGTGGGGAAGAAGGCAGGAAGAACATTCTGGGCAGACAGAACAAGAGAAAATGGGATGTATGGGGGAACTGAAGGTCAGGTTCAGAGAAGGAGGTCCTGGGAGAGGGGTACTGCAGGGCAGGACCAGCCAGGCAGGCTCTGCAGCCACAGGGAGCTGGGCTTTCTCCTGAGGCCATGGAGAAGCCATGCAGGGCTCAAAGCTGGCCAGAGGGAGAGGGTGACAGAGAGGCTTGTACCCCCTGTCACAAGGTAGACAGGGGAAAATGGGAACAGAAAGCTGTCAAAGGAAACAAACACTTCAGAGTAGGCCTCGGTGGGTGGTGATTCCCACAGCCTAAGGCAGAGAGCCCTGGAAGACAGCCAGATCCTAAGGATGGGGACGGGACGTGGGGAGAGTGGCATGGCTGGCTTGGTTCAGCCGGATCCACCTTTGAGACATTTGAGAAAGCAGAGGCTCAGGGAAGGGAGGTCACCTGCTGTCAACTGTCTCACGGACAGAGTGATACCAGGGTCAGAAGGCGCTCTGAGACCCAGGCGGGAGAGGGCACCTGCAGCTGCAGTCAGAGACAGCACGTTAAAGAAGGAGAGGCTTGGGCCTAGGCCCAGGCCTTGACAGGCCAGCACTCCAGGGCTGAGCCAGGGAGGCAGAAGTGGGAGGGACAGAGTTGCCTGATGAGCAGCAGGGCCTGGCCATCGGACGTCAAGGGGAGCAGTGCCCACCAGGTCAGCATAGTGGGCTCTCGATGCTGACTCCCCTAAAGCTGTCTATAGCCCAATCCCCAGAACCTGTAAAATAGGACCTTATATGGCAGAATATGGGACTCTCAAAAATCTTGAGAGAAAGTACTTTCTTAGGATAACCTGGTGGGCCTTGACACAACCTTGTGTCCTTATCACAGAGGCAGAGATATGCACCCCACAGGAAGTAGCACTGTGATCACCAAGCCAGAGACCAGTGCCATGCCCAGGGTACTTGGTGCTGTCGGAGGCTGGAAAAGACAGAATGGGACCCCTTCCCCTGAGTCCTCAGAGGGTGAATAGCCCCGCTGCCACCCTGATTTTGGACTTCTGGCCTCTAGAACTATAAGGGAATAAATTTCTGTGGTTTTAGGCTTCCTGGTATGTGGTAATTTGTTACAGGAAACACATACAGCCAGGCCTTCCCAGAAGTCAAGGGTATGCGGGCAGAAAAACACCCCTTGGTTTAAGAATGTAGACACTGGAGACCCTGGAGTAGTTTCAACCCATTAGGAGCACCAGGGGACCTTTAGAAAGTCACAAATGCTCGAGCCCTAGATCACTCATATCATGATCCTGGGGGTGGGCTCAGGCCTAGCTTGTGTGTGTGTGTGTGTGTGTGAGTGAACAAAAGGCTCAGCTGCAGACTGAACCCAGGTCTCCTCCACCTGCTAGTTAAGTGCTGAACCTTTGAGCTACACCCCAGCCCTACTTTCTTTAAAGATCTACTCCTTTTTTTTTTTTTTTTTTTTAACATGCAGTCAAGTTGAGAATAAGTGCCCTAGAGAGGCCTAAGCAGGGGCAGAATCCATACTGAACAGGGAGCTGGGGGGGGAGTGAGAAAATGGAGAAATTTTTGACTACTTCATAAATTTTATCCCTGAATGGGAAACAAATGGCCTGCGAGAGGGCAGGAGGTGGATGTGGGTTCAAGAGAAGTTTGTTTTCTTTGAACTTGGCCCTAAACGTAGGTGGGGATGATGGAGGCTGAGAAATGAGAGCTGTAAGAGGCTGCTGAGAAATGAGGCTGGGGGAGGGGATCCCATGGCACATGCCTTCCAGTACAGGGGACAGGGGTCAGGCAAATGCCACATGGATAAATGTACAGGTCAAACCAAGATGGCCCTCAGGAAATACAAACATAGCCCTAAATGGAGAGCAACAGGCCAAAGAACTGAGCCCAGCTGGAGGCCAGTGGTGGCCTCCCAGGAAAGCAGGCCTCCAGCTGCAGTATGCTGAAGGATGCAGAGGAGCCAGTGAGGCCGCGCAGGAGAGGGAGGGGCAGGAAGAACATTCCAGGCACAGGGAACAGCACTGCAAACTCCATGCAGCAAGAGAAAATGGGGCGGATGGAGGAACTGAAGTTCAGGTTCAGAGAAGGGGGTCATGGGACAGGGGATGTTGCCAGGCAGGACCACCCAGATGGGGCTCCTGCCACCACAGGGAGTTGGGCTACTTCCTCAGAGCCTCTGAGAGCAGGGAACTCAGGCAGTGAACAGGAAAGGGGACACCATTTGCCCCCTTGTGGGTGGCACGAAGGATCTGTGAGATGACTTCTGGGAAAAGTGTTTAAATGTCAATGCAAGAGAGAGCCAGGGCTCTCTTCACTCGGGTACAGCAACTGACAATGTTCAGCGTGGTGATGGCCAAGCTCAGCTTGGAGACCACAGTGGCCTTCCCAGGGTCACATTGATGGATGATGGTAGAGCAAGGTTGGAACCCAACTCCTCCTGCCTCTGAGCTGGAGTCCCGCCCACAGGCCTCAGCCCCTCCCTGGCCCTCCTGCCAAGCCTGTGCCTGGCCTCCTGACCTCTCTGGGGAGCAATCTCACCCTCCTTTCTTGTTCTCATCTGCTGTCCTTTGGCTTATTTATATAACACATCTGTCTCCTTCCTCTGCACTCACCACAGCTGGCCCAGAAAACCTTCCCTGGGCTGAGCTGCAGCCTCAGCTCAGAGAGAAGCAGCCTCAGTTAGCAGCAGATGCTTACTATGTCTGTCTCAAGACATGCGAGCCAGCCAGGTGAGGCCCAGGGAGGAGCATTCCCACCCTGCATCACCCTAGGCCACCAGTTGTCAATGGCAGAGCCAGAGTGAGGACCCAGGTCTTGGACCCCTTGCCCAAATA